TCTGGTTAAATGCTATTTTTTTCCTGTGGAAAATGCATACTTGTGAGTGGGCTTTAAAAAATGTTAAGAAAAGTAATGAATTTCGGAGGAGGGGGGGGGCCTTATGCGAAATTTCACTGAAATATTCATTTCGCATTTTTTTTCTCTTATACCTTTATTGCTATAAAATGGCAAGTTTTGATTAAAATTTCTATGAAAGTTAAGCAAATTTCGAGGCGCAACTTTCAGCTGTTCTAGTTGAGAGCCACACATCTCGTAACTGGCGCGTCTGTCCTGTTTTAGTCTCATCTCATTTAGTCTACTTATATCTAAAAAAAAGTTTGTGGACCCTCTTTATAACTATTTCCCGCCAATTTTATACGAAGGAAGAGTTAGTTATTCGTTATTTTCGATAATGTGTGACAGATCAATCGTAGAAGGTGTTCCGAAACATCCACTAAAATATACTGAAGGTATATATGCGTCCTCACTGTATCTCTTTGTCTAGGTTTTTTATGTGTGTTCTTGTCTTTATTTCAGGTCCACCACCTCGTTATCTCAACGTATCGTTAGCGGCTTTTGGTTACACTTGTTACAATCGCAAGTGGGTCTCTGCACAAACCCTAGAACTTGGCAAAACCCCCGTGCGAGACGCACCGGAACCTAACCCAACCTCAGAGGGTGCCACAACCACCACCACCACATCCGCCTTGCCCACAGCCACTTTGACACCTCAGAGACATAAATCGACCTCTCCCGCCTCCTTATCGGGAAATGGACCAGTGCAAAGACCTCTTCATTTGGATTTTCACGATGTTTGCAATGGACCAGATGTGAGTTTTATTCTACTTTAAAAAACATCGTCCAGATAGATATACTACTTAATATCTACCCGGTAGATATTAAGTAGCACTTATTGTGTGTCCGAAGAATGCATGCTGCCGCCATTTTTCAGGCCACTTTTTGTAAAGGCCTTCACTGAACTCGATATTTATGAGACTTGAAGTAATGGATTGATTTTATTGGGTACTTTAGTCATAGTAGCCCTGTCAAACCACCGACAAAATTGTATTTGCTCTCAAATTTGGACTTGAAAGAAATCCAGTTTTGTTTTTATAAATTGCCATCGTTTAAATCCAAGTAACTTATGTAACGATTTTTGAATCCATTACGAAAATTAAATCTGTTTGAACGAAAGATTTCCTATTGAAGTTTTGTATCAAATATGCGAATTGAGTATTTATAGTATCAATGTTCCATTTTCTAAATGGAGTGGGTGGGGTGGTGACCTATTCCATTTCACTCCTTTAGATTTTCATAATTTTGAATGGATCACAATTGTTCTTAGGAACTCAGTAAGCTTTGTGTATAAAATTGTCTATGCTCGTTACTAATCAGCCACGTGGCTTTTCCCAATTATGAGATAGATTTAGCTTATTCATTTATGTCCACTGTTTGGTATTTTTTGCTATCTTAGATGACTTACTTTGTTCGTCGTGTAGCGAACAGCCTTGTGGTAGGCGTATTTACAATCTCGAAGTATGAAATGTTGTTGCATTCTTATGCCACAGTTTGTGGACATAGTCTAGACTGTTTAATTCCAAGCAGCCTTAAAATGACTGAATGTTCACCTGTTTTTTGCCGGTTTAATTACGCAAATCATTGATAATCCTATTGGCTACCAGAACCGCACACTATCCATTTGCGCCATCTTTTATTAGAAAAATTAAAATGCTTTTGCTTGATTGCCACTTTATGCTCGTTTTGGATTGAAGCTCCTTCGACTCCACTCTGCTTCCAATTACTCGGCTTGTGTGTGTAATCTGAAGGGTTTCCTGCTTCCAATGCTCTCCTAACTGCTGTGTTGTTGTATTTTGGCTTTCTATAATGCCTTCACCAATTTCTGATCCATTAAAGGGCCCGATGCCAAACGAGATTTGCTAGCTATATTTCAAGCCTCTGAAAGTGGGAGTTTGTTTGATTTTGTTTTTTGCTTAATCATCATTTAATGTGAAAAAAAAATAGGAAAAGGGTTTGCGAATGGCATGACTAAGTGCCTTTTTTCCTGCTCCACGTCTTGCGTCGTTAATCAAATTGCTTCATTTCCAAGGATGGTTTAAATGATTTTAAGGACTTGTTTAATAAATTGGTGGTGGTGGT